TCTCACACTCTCTCTTCCCCCATATGCCAGCTGGTTGTTCAATTCCAGTGTGGCATTTGAAGATTCACACTGGAGATGAGGGAGCTTCTGACAACCTGAGCCCCAGATTAACTACATGGGCATTACCTTCCCACAACTACCAACTGGACTTGACATCCATGAGAAATAAACTTCCATTGTTGTAATCCATCCACTGAGAATTTTTACTTTAATCTTCTGTCAACAAACTAGCATTTACCTTTGCTAATGCAGACACAAATGTGTCTTGTTTTTTACTGTTCAAGGTACCATATCTTATTTGGTAAAATAATAATAATAATAATTTACTGGATTTACTTTGAACAATTTACCTTGAAAACTACCTCCCAAATTTACTAAGACCTTTTACTTTTTTCAATTTCCTTTTCTTTGTGCTTAATAAATGCCAATTATGGAGTGAGATCAATGGAGCTATTGACTCATAATTAAATTCTAAGGCCTGTGTTAGCTATTTCACGGTTGTCATATCTTGAGAAGGGAAAGAGGAGTGTGAAGAGATAAGACATGAATACAAGGAGTTGGGGGTGCTGACACATGCTTATAATTCCAGCACTTTGGGAGGCCAGTGGATCGCTTGAGCCCAGGGGTTCGAGACCAGCCTGGGAAACATGGTGAAACCTGGTCTGAACTAAAAATACAAAAGTTAGCCAGGAGTGGTGGTGCATGCCTGTAGTCCCAGCTATTCAGGAGGCTGAGGCAGGAGAATTGCTTGAACCTGGGAGGCGGGGGTTGCAGTGAGCCAAGATCCTAACACAGCACTCCAGCTTGGGCAACAGAGTAAGAGACTCCATCTCAAAAAAACAATGATAATAACAAAATAAAATAAAAGACATGAATACTTGTTTCTTCAAGGACAGGTTTAATGTCTCAATTTGATTGATTTAGCATCTAGTACATGATAGATATTCAACAGGGTTAGTGACTGACTGATCCCTCAAGAGGTTTTACAAGATCAAAGTGCCCAAATCAGGTAATTCTAGATATTTTCTTTGAAAATAAAGAGATGACCATAAAATAATTTTAGTGATGAAAGCTAGGGGTTGCTATGATTCACTGTTCATATTTTGATTCTTTCATTTTCCGCTGAACTGGGCTTAGATTAGTACAATTTTGTAGCAAAAATATTGTTTTCTTTTGAAGTATGAATCACTTTTCCTTGAATTTTAATGATGTCTCTATGCCATTACCCTAAATTGACCAAAATGGCATCCTGCAAAACATGCAATGTACCTTTCAATTTCCATGATTTTTTCACTTTGTTTTTCCTGCCTGGATATGTTCCCTTCTATTATTCCTGTATCTAAAGCCTGCCCTTTTTGGAGACTAGCTCAAATCCCATCCATTGCCCCATGCCATTGCAGACTCAAATAAACTTTTTGTTCTCTAAGTTCCTCTGGCTCTAAAATCATTCATAAATTACAAATCATAAACTATTTTGCTTCTTTATCTTTATCAGCAGACATTTTGTTTATCCAATTACATTAAAAATATGAGGAGTGTAGACTGCGTCTTAGACTATTTTACATCCCCAACACCTAGCAGAACAACTTTGTCTTATACATAGTAGGTATTAAATGTTTAAAAAGAGGCAGACTCCTGTAACTGTGTCAAAAAATAAAAAATAAAAAGAGATAGATAGTAAAAAAAAAAAAAATGCTGTCATGTATAAGCAAAGAAATATGTACAAGGATGCTGTCTGTGTACTTTTTTGTGCTAACTAAAGATTAGAAACAAGTTACATGCCTGTTAGTAGAGGGCCAAATGAATCCTGGTACATCTATGGATTATTGTAGCTTGCAGCAATTCAAAAAGAAGACATCTGCTCTTTATAAACATGAAGGGAGGTATCTTCAAATATATATTAGGTGGATAAAAAGTTAGTATGTGTGATACACCTTGTAAAATAAAAATGATGCTTGTATAGTCATAAACATTTCCAAGAGGATATACAAAAGACTGTTAAAGTTGGTTGTTTCTGGGGAATGAGAAAGGAAGGCAGAAATAACTATAGTTCCTAAATTCACAGCAAGATTCTGGTTAGATAATTTGCTTTATTTATTATAGGAACTAGGCACAGGCACATTCCTATATACATAGTTAATTGACATCCAAGACTCAACATGATAGTCAACAGGTACAGCAGGAGCACTGACAGATCAGAAGAGATATCAGCTGTGAAGCCTCAGCGGTTGAAGTCGTACCTGCCGAATCTTACAGCCCTGTGCTCAATTGATGTTCTATGTCACTTGGATTGGTAGCAATGCAATTTGAAACCTACACTCAAAAATGATTCTTTAAAAAAAAAACGAGCACTTTTGCTAATCAAGTTGCTTAAATACTGAACTGGCCGGGCGCGGTGGCTCAAGCCTGTAATCCCAGCACTTTGGGAGGCCGAGACGGGTGGATCACGAGGTCAAGAGATCGAGACCATCCTGGTCAACATGGTGAAACCCCGTCTCTACTAAAAATACTAAAAATTAGCTGGGCATGGTGGCGCGTGCCTGTAATCCCAGCTACTCAGGAGGCTGAGGCAGGAGAATTGCCTGAACCCAGGGAGCGGAGGTTGCGGTGAGCCGAGATCGCACCATTGCACTCCAGCCTGGGCAACAAGAGCGAAACTCCGTTTCAAAAAAAAAAAAAAAAAAAAAAAAAAAATACTGAACTGATTAACCAAACCTCTCTCGACATTTAAGCCTTTTGTCATTATTCATGTTTCCCCAGCCTCCCAGCTTCCACCACAGGTTAACAAATTAATAAGTATGACATCTGAACAATTCAATGGAGAAAACACCTACTAAGGGATTCCGATCATCGTGGAAGTCATGTTTGTCTCCCCTTGTTTGGATGGCAGACGAGATAGAATACAATTCTGGAAAACTATTAATTCATTTCAAACCCAAACAAAAAGTATTGTATTGGCCACTAGATGGCCCCCATATATATTTTTCCATTATTTCAAAGAAAACATGGAAGAAACTAGTGAAAGAAAAATATGTATTAAAATAATATATGATTATTTACCTTTCACATGAATACGTGAAAGATATAGATATTATGAATCTTCATTTATCACTTATTTAGTATATCTTCATATTATGGAACTATAAAACACCTTTACTAGTCACATTTCCAATAGTACCTATAAAAATATTTTAAGAATTAAAGATTTTAATGTTTAACTTCTGGGCAACATCAAAATTCTTCATCTAATTTTGTTACTTGATGTGTAGCAATAACAAATTTTTTTCTTTCTTAGTTCTGAGTCACTGCTATGATTACCACATATTCTACTCTTGTATACATTTTAAGTAAATTCTCCTTCTTTTTAAAACTTTAAAGAAAAAAATTTAATTCAGCATCCGGTTCGTGTCAAAATATAAGAAAAAAAAAAATCCCAAATGTTATGAGTTTAAATTTTGAACAAAAACAAGTTATTTACTTACAGATAGCCATAGCCTTCGCTTATTTAGCAGATTATATATATTAAAAGCCAATACACTTTTATGTAAAAATGACAAAGTATTAGCTGATTAGTATTTCATTTAGCTTATAACCCATTCAACAATCAGCTGCTTCTAAATAGATACTTTCATTATTGTGCATTTATAATGGAAATAGCTGAGATTCCTAAAAATAGTAAAGAAGAAGTAATTGCCTTAATGATTAATCACCTGTAGTTCGGCTGGTTACAGAATATCAATGTGTATCACATTTCACTTCACTAATGATCATTACCTTGATTTTCTCATTTCTGCTTTCCATAAAAAAAGGACCAATCAGTTCCAGGTCCTGTAAAATTTTGAATAGAAAACAAATTTAACTTGAGCTTGCAAATTATATTTTCCCCATATGCTATCCAATTCAGGGACTCAAGTCTGATTCTGTACAGCCAAAAAGCATGCCAGAGAAATCACCTGTTTGGAAAATCTGCAATTCTGACTTTATGCTTTAATTGGCAATTTCCGGTTATATTCTGTTTCCCGAGGGGCACTGGGCACTACTGAAAAGACCTGAAATGTTGCAGGCTGCTATTACCAACTCTTTTCCCCTTGGTGGTCAGACTTGCTTCCTTTGTTCAGCTCACTTTTGTTTCTCAGTTCCTGAAATCATCTTCACTTGGAGAAAGTTTTAGAGTTTGAGAATTAAAAACCGTTGTATAACATAAACACAGCTTATCCCAACATTTGGCCTTTGGAAAAGGAGGGGCTGAAAAAATGACAAAAGCTGTCTTTGAATCTATAAAATATTTCCCCCTGCTATCCCACTTAACTTGGCAAGGAGATTTCAAAACAGCGTTGCAGCAAACAAATCAGCAGATTTTCAACACACATCTTTTTCTTTTCTCAGGAGAGAAATATCACGTGAAGACTAAAATAACCCCAATTTTGTTCATTTCCTCGTTTGTTTTACAGTTAAAAAGCCATTTCATGCTCCAGCCACGGTATCTCATGCCTGTAATTCCAGTACTTTAGAAGGCTGATGTGGGCAGACTACTTAAGGCCAGGAGTTAAAGACCAGCCAGAGCAACATGGCTAAATCCTGTCTTGGCTAAAAATACAAAAATTAGCTGGGTGCGATGGGTGTGCCTGTAGTCCCAGCTACTTGGGAGGCTGAGGCAGGAGAATTGCTTGAACTCGAGAGGCAGAGGTTGCAGTGAGCCGAGATGGCATCACTGCTCTACAGAGTGACATGCTACGTAAAAAAAAAAAAAAAAAAAAAAAAAAAATTCATGATTTCATGCAATAAAACATGACTATGAAAAGTATTGTCGCCTGCTACCACTGTCTAGATCTGAGTGGTTCACTGCACCACGAAGACAGATTCCAGATGCTGGGAACTCATGCCTCCAATCTCAGACACTATTTCCAGCAAAGGCTCTGTGGTTCTGGGCTACAGTGGTGGCCTAGACACCTCCTGCATCCTCAGGTGGCTGAAGAAACAAGACAATGATGTCATTGCCTACCTGGCCAGCATTGGCCAGAAGGAAGACTTTGAGGAAGCCAGGAAGAAGGCACTGAAGCTTGGGGCCAAAAAGGTTTTCATTGAGGATGTCAGCAGGGGGTTTGTGGAGAAGTTCATCTGGCCAGCCATCCAGTCCAGTGCACTGTATGACTGCTACCTCCTGGGCACCTCTCTCACCAGGCCCTGCATTCCCTGAAAACAAGTGGAAATCGCCCAGCGGGAGGGGACCAAGTATGTGTCTCATGGCACCACGGGAAAGGGGATCAATCAGGTCCACTTTGAGCTCAACTGCTACTGGCTGACCCCCCCAGATAAAGGTCATTGATCCCTGGAGGATGCCTGAGTTCTACAACCGGCTCAAGGTCCGAAACGATCTGATGGAATTTGCAAAGCAACTCTGGATTCCCATCTTGGTCACTCTCAAGAACCTGTGGAGCATGGACGAGAACCTCATGCACATCAGCTACGAGGCTGCAATCTTGGAGAACCCCAAGAACCAAGCGCCTGCAGTTCTCTACATGAAGACCCAGGAGGTGGCCAAAGCCCCTAACACTCCTGACATTCTCGAGATCGAGTCCAAAAAAGGGGTCCCCGTGAAGAAGGTGACCAACATCAAGGATCGCATCACCCACCAGACCTCCTTGGAGCTCTTTATGTACCTGAACGAAGTCGCGGGCAAGCACGGTGTGGGCCGTATTGACATCGTGGAGAACCACTTCACTGGAATGAAGTCCCAAGTTATCTACCATATTCCAGCAGGCACCATCTATTACCACACTCATTTAGACATCCGGGCCTTCACCATGGACCGGGAAGTGTGCAAAATCAAACAAGACCTGGGATTGAAATTTGCTGAACTGGTGCACAACAGTTTCCGGCATGGCCTTAAGTGGGAATTTGTCCACCATTGCTTCGCCAAGTCCCAGGAGCGAGTGAAAGGGAAAGTGCAGCTGTCTGTCTTCAAGGGCCAGGTGTACATCCTCCGGTGGGAGTCCCCACTGCCTCTCTACAACCAGGAGCTGATGAGCATGAACACGCAGGGCGACTAGGAGCCAATTGATGCCACCAAGTTCATCAACATTAATGCACTCAGGCTGAAGGAATATTATCATCTCGAGAGCAAGGTCACTGCCAAATAGACCCCTGTACAATGAGGAGCTGGGGCCTCCTCAATTTCCAGATCCCCCAAGTACAGTTGCTAATTGTTGTGATAATTTGTATTTGTGACTTGTTCTCCCCAGCTGTCAGCGTAGTCGGGCTGCCAGGCCCCATCGTTGTTCCCTGGTCTCCCTGAAGCCCGCAAATGTCGTCATCGAAGGGAAGGATGAGGGGCAGCTGCAGTGGGGAGCTATAAAATAACAATTAAAAGATTTTTTTTTTTAAAAGTATTGTCTTGTGTAGATAAATGTTGCTCTTTGTTCATACTCTCCATCTAGTTGATTTAAAAACCTCCTTATTTCTGCTGGGGCACTGGGACATACCAACTTTCTGTCGGTTCCCAGGGCAATTTCCAGATCCTTTGCATATAATAATCTCTTTTTCTGTTCTTTTTATTATTTTGTGCTTCTGATTTTTCTTCAGTCCTGAGTCCTTCATTGAAAAGTTAAGAATAATACCTGCAAATAGGTGTTTCATCAGGGGAAAAGTTTGTACAGAGAGTCATTTGATGGATTCTTTCTTTTCTTTGAATGCCTTATCAAAAAAACGATTCAGAAAACACATTCCCTCAGGCAATTTCAATCCATTCAAATCCCAGAGACCTTTAAAGGTGTTAGTTCCTAAACTGGCTGTTTTACTGTGTAAGGCTTCCTGGATGGCCTTGGGGGAAAGGGATATTGAGGAGAAGAAAGGAGAAGAGATCCCCACCCTCCTCCTCCAACTTACAAAGACACCATCTGAGAAATGAATGTTCAACTGCATGGTTTATACTTAGCTGTGAATTTGAATTATCAAATCAGAAACTTAGGGGTAAGGAAGAATTCTAAAATCCTTTGGCGCTGATTCCTCGCTAAAACATCCCTATTGAGTGTTTCTCTGGCCTCTCCATAACTATATTTAGTAACAGGATGACAGAGCAGGAGCATCACCGTCTTGGACAAGCCTCTCATTCTAAAAGTTCACCTTAATAAAAAAAACTGCCTGAATCCAAAGGGCATCAGCCTGACGGCTAAGCTCGGCATGACCATAAACCACAAATAACATCTCCAACCAGCAACGCTCAAAACTCCTCCCCTACCAGAATCATGCTAGCTCCTCTCGCTCTGGCTGGAAAGATGTCTCCCCCAAAGTAAACTCCCCCGCTCCCAGAAAGATTCCAACCCTGTCATAAACTTCTCCACACACATAAATGTTCCAAGCTTGTGGTTAGCCCCGTCACCCTAAAACCAATATATACTCTTAGTCTGTAAGAGAAAGCGCTCCTGACTGAATTCAGCCAGGAGCGCCTCTCAGGTTTTAACTAAAGAAAACATGTCTTTAACTGCCAAGCCGCGTTTAGTGTTTCTTTCCTCTTTAACTCTTACACAGGGAATTAACCAAAAATAATCATAACTTGAAAGAAAAGGCTGAAACCCCTTAAGCCGGGCCCCACCCTCCATGCTATTTCACTCTCCTTTCCTGAGGTAACCTCTGTTTCTCTTCTTTGCCTTTTTCTATGCTTGTTTTCACATCTAAGTAGTCAAAACATATATAGATTATCTATTTTGGCTATTTTTATTAAAAAATATGGCTTGAAAAGTCTTCCATGCCATATAGACATGCTTCATTCTTTTTAATGGCTGCATAGTAATCTATCACATGAACCACAGTTTATTTAGCTATTCTCCTTTTAGGCTTTTCTTTTTTTTTTTTTTTGCCCATTTTTCATTATTATAAAAAGTCCTACATTCTTTCTATGCCTCCTTTTTGCAAGTTGAAGTGTTTCTTGAAATCTCTGTAAAGACTGGATTCTTGTCATGAAATAGGAAAGTTAATGTTGGGGCTCAGAAACTGATATCCCAAAATAGGAGCTGTTGACATGCTGAACTGAAGAACTTTCAAGGTCTCTCCGACCTTCCCCACTACCCCCATAGCCTCTCTCAAAGAAGTTGAAGTTCCTTTATCTGCCTAAGATCCAGACCCACCAAGGAGAAAAATTGTTTCTTCCTTCCCCTTCCTGTAAGACCAAGAATGTAATCACACCTGAACAGACCCTTGCACTGTCAAAGAGAATTATTTACAACCTAATCTCTATTCCTGGATCCATTCATTCTCCCTAGTAATTTCTTCAACAGAATTCCTCTTTTCCACCCTTTCATAACCTGTTTTATCAGGATGGTATTGTAAAAGTGAACTAAATATGGCCTGAGAAGGACTCCGTACTTCTATATTTGAGTCCCGGTGGATGAACCATAACCTAACTTAATAGGTAGACAAGACCGAAAACCTAACTTAGAAACCTGTAGCAATAGCTGAATCTTGGATGATCCCAGCAGTCATACTTCAACCATTCATACACTTCTGAGTGTTCAAACTCAAATCATTCATTGCTCAATTAAACTCCTTTAAAGTTAATTCAGCTAAAGTTATTCTTTTAACAGTATATAAGCTCCTTGGGGGATTAGGTCTTCATTCTGAGGGCTCCCGTGTATGTATGTTAAATAAATTTGCCATTTCTCCAATTTATCTGCCTTTTGTGAGTTGATTTTGTTACAGTCTCACTAATGCACCACAATGTAGCAGTCTCTTGTTCTTAGGTACTACCTGGCGATCTTTGTCTAATAGCAGAAGAAATCAAGAATGTTGACACACCAAGAGTGAGATTAGAGCAGAACTTAAAAAAGTAAAAGAGAGAAAGCTCTCTGCCACAGAGAGCTTCTCTGCTCTGTCCTGGAGAAGGGTTGCCATTTTTATGTTAAATGCAAAGGCTTTAATAAGAAACTGATGAGCCCTGGGTGTCTCATTTGCATAAGGCACGAATTTGTGGTAGCTGCACCCCATCCTCCTAATGTGCATGTAGGCCCTTAGCTTGACTTACTCCATATTGCTTTGTTCCTTTTATTGCACAGGTGCCAGGGGACAGAATTTTCCATTGCGGACATGTCTGGGCAAGTCAGCTGTGTAGCCTTTCTTATCTATGTGGCTGTGGGCATGGCTTAGCCAAGCCTCCCTGTGCAAGTTCCCTTATCTGTGCCTGCATGCTGTTCTGTTTGAAAGAACTCAACCAAGGACCCACACTAACTGCCTGCCTGGCTGGGATTTTTTTCTTTCTCTTTTCAATTTTTTGATGAACCTTCAGAAAGCCAAGGTGAAAGCTCTCCACTGACTCCTAAGGTAACTAACACTGTAGCATTTTCTTTTTGCAAATTCATTCAAGAAATATTTATTGAGTGCCTACTAAGTTCCAGACACGATTCTAGAATAAGACAGAAAACAACCCTCTGAAAATTTTCTTATTTAATAATTAAAATTACCTTCAACATTTGCCCAGTTTACAGGTAAGAAAAATCAAAGCTCAAAAAAGAAAGAATTGTGATTGGAACATATCTATCTGGGTCAAGAGTGCAGATTATATACCCTGACCAGCACAAGTGGGAAACTCTTACTATTGAAAAGTTCTTTTGTCTGTTGAGATGCAACTCTTATATATTTCTGCTGTTTTCCTAGAACACTGTTTTTGGAGGTCAAGCTTAATCCCACTTTCACCTGACAGTCTTTAAAAACATGCAGCCATAAAAAAGAATGAGGTCTGGCTGGGCACAGTGGCTCATGCCTGTAATCCCAGCATTTTAGGAGGCCAAGGTAGGCAGATCACCTAAGGTCAAGAGTTCAAGACCATCCTGACCAACATGGTTTCACATGGTGAAACCCCATCTCTACTAAAAGTACAAAAATTAGCTGGGCAGTGTGGCAGGCACCTGTAATCCCATCTCCTTGGGAGGCTGAGGCAGGAGAAACACTTGAACCCTGGAGGCAGTGGTTGCAGTGAGCAGAGATCGCACCACTTCACTCCAGCCTCGGTGACAGAGTGAGACTCCATCTCAAAAAAAAAGAACAAGATCATGCCTTTTGTAAGAACATGGATGGAGCTGGAGGCCATTATTTTTAGCAAACTAACACAGGAACAGAAAACCAAATGCTGCATGTTCTCACAAGTGGGAGCTAAATGATGAGAATACATGGACACAAAGAAGGAAACAATAGATGTGGGTTCTACTTGATCAGGGACGGTGGGAGGAGGGAGAGGAGTAGAAAAGTTAACTATTGGCTACTGGGCTTAGTACCTGGGTGTTGACATAATCTGTACAACAAACTCTCGTGACACTTGATCTAAGTAATAAACCTTCACATATACTCCCTAAACTAAAATAAAAGTTAAGAAAATATAACAGCCATAATTCTTGTATTCATTATCCAGCAGGCCCTGTTCTAAGTACTTTATATATATTAAGTTCTTTAATCCTGACAACACATCTTTGTGCTTTAATTTGTTTTGTGAATACTTACATCACAGCTGATACTTATCAGGCATTGATTTGAGTACTTTTCAAATAATAATTCAATACATCATCATAATCATTATAAAGAGAAGTAACCTCTATTTTTATTTCTATTATTCTTCCTTGTCTTTTTCTATGCTTATCATAATATATAAGTAGTCAAAACATATATTACATTCATTTTTTGCTATATTTATTAAACATTAAACAACATGGCTTAAAAAAATTGATGTCACGTAGACATGCTTCATGCTGTTAATGTACAAATTTTCCACAAGAGGAAAATGAGAGTTTAAGAGAGGTTAAGTAATTTGCTGAAAGTCAATCCCAAGCCTTTGGGATTACAGGAGGATCACTTGACGCCAAGAGTTTGAGACCAGCGTGGACAACACAGTGAGACCCTGTATCTAATTTTTTTTTTTTTTTTTTTTTTTTTTTTTTTTTTTTTTTTAGTTAGCTGGGCATAGTATCACATGCCTGTAGTCCTACCTACTCTGGAGGGTGATGTAGGAAGATTGGTTGAACCTAGGAGTTTGAAGTTACAATGAGGTATGATGATGTCTCTGCACTCC